CTTTCTCTCTGATTCTGGAGAGCTGATTATAATTTTTAGTATATTAATGGATTCAGAAGTATTTGATGCTCATATGCAGATGAATACTGAGAGTATTTTTAAATAGAAGATGAAGTGATAAAGGCCCAAGATGAAAATAGCTATGCTATATGCTATTCTGGGTTTATAGATGGCATCTGTGGCTGTGTCTATTGAGCTGCTATCTTTTGCCTCCAATTTAGAAGAATCAGGTCCTAGCCTGGTTCTGAGAGATTAAAAGAGATCAGACATGAAGCAGGCACAGGTATCTGAAGAGGTCAGTTATTTTAATGTCATTCCAAATTACAAAGAGAAAGACTGAATAAATCAGTCTTTGTAAATGAAACTGCATTCATTTATTTTATTGGGGCTGTTCCCAACACTTGAAATGTTAAATCACCTTCTTTGAATAGGCAAGGCAGTTATGAAAACATTTGTGATTTCTAATCAGAATTACCATTTTGGTCTGAATATACTTGCCCCAAAATGAATGCATGTGTCATTCTGTGCTTTCTGACCTTAATTTTTTAATCAGGGAAAGAAATTTTTTGACATTGGATGTAAGAATCACAATATACCAGCTGCGTATGCCAGACATGTTGTCAACTCTTTACCTAGACACATTAGGGTATATGAGCAATAAAATAATTTAGTCAAAGATAGAACCTTCTGCTAAGACCTGGGATTTATGTTTGTTACAGCAGCTGCAGTTTGGCGTATCTGCTCTGTTTGCTGGCATGTCACACTTCTTGAATACCATGAAAAGTAAAGATATCAAGGGCATTTTCTTTTTCTTCTTCCTATAGTAATAACCCTGTCATATTGGTATCCTTCTTTTGATTGTCAATAAATCTTCCAAAAGACTTGTGGATGTTTTGGTGATAGGAATTAGACTGTTTTAAAGAAAAACACAGTTGTATCCCATGCTGTCCACAGCAGCTTTTGGGCAGTTCTTTCCACACGGACCAGACTTCTGTGACAGTTTCTAGAGGGGTTCTTCCAGCACTGTCCTACTTTTGCAAAGACACATTAAGTCTGTCTTGTAACTGTCAAGACAACCTGATAGTTTTCTCAGCTATTGCTTTAGTTTGCTAATTTATGGCTTCTTACAAGTATTCTTTTCATTTTCACACTTTTTTTTCAAATATCAAACTTCATGTGTCACGTAATGATTTTGATGTTGTCTGTTTTTATCTGTGTGAGCTTGCATTCCACAGATGTTGCTCCACACCTTAGCAAAGCTGGGTGGTTGGCAGATGGAAAACTCTTTGCTCTGTTGATGGAGTATGGTTTTAGCAGAGCAAAATATGCATTCGAATAAGCAACTCTGAGCTAAGAGGGTCCTGCATTCTTCAGTAGTTCATCATATTTTTATAGCTGAAGAATTCTCTTACTGTTTTACATTAGTCCAGTCAAAAGAGTTCCTGACAGCAAGGGACAAAGAGTGTACTCTGTCGTTACTGACACAATTAATTATTGTCATGTTGCAGTCATCATTTTGATGTGGAATCTCAAAAGCCCTTTTACATTAGTGCCTGTGGCTACACAGTTCCTTGCTTTCCAGGAATCAAAAGATGTTGAAACAGAATGATGGAAATAATAAAATCTTATTTTTATTTTTTAAAGGCCTGATCAAAAAATAGAAGATACGACAGAAACCAGTGCTGAAATTCTTGCTCGTCTCACTTCTGCGGTAAGGTCACTACATCAAAGTTAGTACTGATCATGTTTGAAATATTGTCATGTTTGGATCTTTTCAAATTAAAGACTTAGTGAGCAGGTGTTTGTAATGCAAACTACTTTTTTGTCGCTGAAAGGAGGAAGCTTTACAGAGGTCTTAGCGTGCAGTTCCAAAGCTGTTAAAATCAGTCCAAGCAAGGACTGCTGCAGTCTGCTCTCTTGTAATCCATGCTATTCGTGGCCCAGGAGATACCGGTTTGGAGGATCATTGCGACTTTTCTGCCGGGTAGCTTACAGTCAGATCCTCTTGGTCAAGTGGACGTCAGTGAGAAGACAATGATGGGGTGGAGGATAAGGGGAGAGAAAGGGTCTCAGCAGCCCTGGTGTGGATTATCATAAGCTTCTGAGGAGACCCACCTGGGAAGCCTGGGTATCTGGCTTCCCGACTATGTTTAGCCTCAATAAACTCCATCATAATAAACAACAGCTTATCCTATCCGTGCTAGAATTTGGTGCATCTTGTTTATCTTGTTGTAAGTTCGTTGTTCTAAGAAGCAAACAGACAGGACTTCAGAAGGTTAAGCTAGATTCACTCAATCTCATGTAATCTGTACAATGGTACAGAGTGAACATCAGCAAGTTTGCAGGTGATGCAAAACTGGGAGGAATGGTCGATATGTCAGATGGGTGTGCTGCCATTCAGAGAGACCTTGACAGGCTGGAGAGATGGACCAATGGGAATCTCATGCTGATTAGCAAAGGCCAATGCAATGTCCTGCATCTGGGAGAAACAACTTCACGCTCCTGTACAGGCTGAGAGCTGACTGTCTGAAAAGCAGCTTTGCAGAAAAGGACCTGAGGGTCCTGGTGAACTCCTGGTGAAGTTGGACATGAGCCAGAAATGTGCCCTTGTGGCAAAGAAAGCCAACTGCCACTGCATTAGTAGGACCATTACCCTCAGCCTAAGAGAGCTGATCAGTCCCCTCTACTCAGCACTAGTGTGACACGTCTGGAGTGCTGCGTCCAGTTCTGAACTCCCAGTACAAGAGACATGTGGACGTACTGCAGCATATGTCAATGACCGTGAAGGTGATCAGGAAGTAGAGTATCTGACTTACACGAAGAGGCTGAGAGAACTGGGAGTTGAGCTTGGAGCAGAAGTCCATGGGAGGATCTTACCAATGTGTATAAATACCTGATGTAAGAGAATAAAGACAACACAGCCATGCTTTTCTCGGTGGTGTCTTGTGACAAGACAAGAAGCAGTGACACAAACTGAAATTCAAGAGATTCTACTTAAACATAAGAAAAAACTTATTTACTGTGAGGATGATTGAACAATAGAATGTGTTACCCAGAGAGGTAATGGAGTCTCCATCCTTGGAAATGTTCAGAACTCAACTGGACAAGGTTCTGAGCAACCTGCTGTAGCTGACCCTGCTTTTGAGCAGGGGTTTGAATCAGATGATCTCCAGAGGTGCATTCCTACCTCAACCATTTTGTGATTGTATGGTTCTGCAAACATCACACCTAAATCATGGTACCAGCAAAACAGGGAATTAGTGCTAGTTCTGTTTTGAGTATGTGAGAAAGTATAGAGATGAAATTGAATCAAGCAGAGTGAAGTTGTCATGAAAAAGGCATGAGAATAAGAGCTATTATAAGTAAAATGAATAAAGTACTGTCTTGAAATCACTGAAAAATGGAAGGGAAGAATTTGTGCTGTATTTTGTGAAGACTAATGTCTTTACAAAATGCTTTTTGTAGTGTGTTTGAAAAGCCAGTGGTTCTGTATGCTCAAGCTCATGCAAAAATAATTTAAAATGTATGACGTTAGAAAGTTTTGTTTTAAAATTGTTTTTTATTTTTTATTTCCTCCATATTCAAATTCCCTTTTTTCTCTACCTTTTCTTCCTAACTGAAAATGAAAGGAGAACTCAGAACCTCAATTTCCTCCATTTAATTTCCTCCATTTTACTTCCATAGAGAGAAAAAATAGAAAAACATAAAACACTGTTTAAAAAGTCTATATCTTTTCAAACCCCCACAAAACTACCAACTCTATAAAACATTGCTGGTATCCCTCAAAAGCTTCACCTCTCAAAAATAAAAGAATAATGTTTTTTTCATCCGTTAAAGAAAGGGAAACACTAAACACAACAAAGTGACTTTCTGAGTTTAAGAACTGGATCTCACTGTTGCTGGATACACTTGAGTAAAATGCATATTCTTAAACACGTGAGTAATTGATAGTGAGTTCAGAGTGCTTCATATCTAGCTCACAAGGTCAAACCCTTAAACTACATCCTGAATGATTCCAGCAGCAGGGCACATGGACAGTTTGTTGCTTTGTTGTTTGGGTTTTGGTGCTTTTCTTTTTGCTTTTCTTGTAGTGGAATAAAACATTCTGTGTCAGGTCAAAAGGATGCTTCTGTGTCAGCTTTTCTTTTTTGGGGATTAAATACCCAAATTTTCAAACCTAAACTGATTGTGAAGGTCCAGCCCAAGCAATATTGGAGAAGTTTGTGTGCCTAAAATGTAAATCACTGTTTTAGCATCTGAAAGCACAGGAAAATCTGTAAGAATGCATGCATGTAAGGTCTAATTATATATTTCTGTAACTTTATAAAAGCTATTGCTTTTGCAGAGGGTGGAACTCACCTCACCTAAATATAAGTGGCCATATGCAGACATCTAAATCTGAGCTAGCTTCCCCAGACACTTCTTACAGCCAGGGAGCAGAAACAGGCACTTTTAGGATGCTGAATGTGTGATTCATTTTGAAAGTCTACTTTAGGGAAAAACAGTCATACCTTAGGCTCTGCTGGTAAGGCACGCACTCTCTAAGAACGGGTTATAGAGTGACTAGCACAGACATAGGCATCTGTATAAATTTGGTGAATTCCTCTCTCCACCTCTTTTTCTTTACTGTAGCCTGACTTTCTTTGTTGGCCTTTCTCTTATTATTTATTCCCTACTGCATTTTGTTACCAGGTGGTATTATCTCTTGTAGAATTCCACTTCTCACATTCACTGCACAATTTGTGATTTTTGATTTGGGGTTTGGGTTTTGTTTTTTTTTTTGATGATGATTCAGCCAGTCTGGAACTGATTAGTTAGGGAAATGCACTCTTGGTTTTAAACAATGGTTATGGAGATTGTTGAAGATAATAGTGATAGCTGTGGTGAATTATGTTAAGTCAGAAGGGCAGTGGGGAAAAAACTTCAGAGGTTTCCTTATCATCTCAATTTATGCAAAATGTATGGAATAAGCCTCTTTTAAGAGCAGAGTCAGATACAAAGGATAAGCAACTAGCTTCGGGAGTCTCACTTTTTCTTTATGCTTTTTTCTACGATGGAAGAAGCAGAGTCAGTCAAGATAACAGAATGGAGCCTATCGAATTATATACTTGTATCATATGCTCCATTACAATGTGGCACTGACAACACCATCAAACTTAAATTGTAAAGGCAGCTGACATGCAAGCAGTGCAAAGTGCCATTTGAAATAGATTTGCATTGGATAATCTTTTTTGGTCATGAATTTTTTAAAAAATGCAATGATTACTCTTGGGTTTAAAGAAGCATTCCAGAGCTGTCATGAATCCCATGTCACATCCCAAAGAGCAGCTTCATATTCAACGTCTTGTCTGCTAAAACCAGAGCACAGTGGGATGACTATGAGTATTTCCACTGCAAAGGTCTTACCTTACCTTGTGATGGGTCAGAAAATAATATCAGGATGTTAATGCAGTATATATGGGAAATACATTTTTCTGGTACATTGTGACATCAGCCAATATTACTTTTTATTTAGAGTCGATCAAACTGTCATTACTTAAGATGCTAACTAGACTCTTCTTTTTCAAAACCTTGCTGTTGAGAGCTTTCTGTTACAGGATTTCATTTTGAGATTCTGTAAGGATTGCCACTTTGTCTCTAGATCTGAAGTGCTATTTGGCACATTGACATCTAGAATACTGTTTCACAAAAGACTACTATAGACAGAAAAAAGAGAGGGGAAAAAAGTAGGGGTGATATGTACTGTCTACTAGATGTACAACTATGCCTTCTATGATAAAATGACCAGATTCATAGATAAGAGAAGAAGAGTAGTTGTTGTGTACTTTTGAAAAATCTCTGCCTCTGTCCTTTGAAGTTAAAAAGATTTGCCATATAAATATGCCATTCATATTTAATCATGCAGAAGTATATGTGGGTACCACTCTGTATGCACACTCTTGCTCTTTCATATTGCAAAAAAGAAAACTATTTAAGATGTGATAAAATGCCAACAACACATTCAAAATGTTCTCTTCCAGACTTTCATGATATTTCTGTAAATACTGTGTGGTAAGCTAGCCTTTAAACTGAATCAGTTTTGACAACTGCAATGCTACTCAAAATGGGATACTATTTAGATAGTGGTAGATTTGTAGCGACAAGCTATATGTATAGACCAATTTTTTGTGTTTAATATCTCAATTTATTATGGTAGGCATTACTCTTTTTTGAATGTATATTTTACTTTGAGTCCACATTATTATCTTCAGTGTGATGTGCAACTATCGATTTTGTCAAACAGGCAGCAACAGAAATCCTATTAGGGAGAAGTATGATAATGTGTAGTGTGTGTGCAGTGAGGAATGAATGTTGTACATGGCTTTCCATCGGTGTAATGATGCATAGGAATTGCATGTCCAGCAGAGATGTCAAGTGCGTTTATGCTGAAACAGACAAAAGCATATAGATTATGAAATCTAGGGACACCAGGCAAATCTAGAAGGCTGCTTAGCAGTACCAATTCTTCGTGATTTGAGCGAGTCCTAAGAGAGAGAGCACAGACCGTCAAGATGAAACCTTTGATGAAGGAACGTTTGCTTAATATTAAGACTAGAGGAAAATGGTTTTTTTCTCCTGCTTTAACTGAAGGGTTTTGCTCAGATTAGGTAATATGCCAGCTGCATTCCTGGCACAGAGCAAACAATGAGATATTTTGCATAACATAGACAAAATACAGAAAACCAGCCTTTTTATTGCCTGTGATGTTAGCACTGTCTTTCAAGCTTGAGAAGTGCCACCTTATAAGCAAAAGTAATACTGCAAATATAATTGCTGGATGCCATAATCCTGCTTTTTCTTCTGAAAAGATGGGTTTTTCTTTACACTTGTGGAGAGATTTGCATTTTTCAGTTGTTTGATTGGGTTAATTGGTATGTTTAAAACTGTTGCAGACTGTAGCATCTCCTAAGGCTAATCTTGATATAATTATTTATTACATGCTAAACGATGAAGCCGATACATCAGCACACTGTTTCTTACTGTCAGTAACCTGTGAGAATAGACCAGGATCGAGGCATCGACATTGGTACCTCCTGCTGAGTTTAATGAAGGGAGAGGGTCTCAGCAGTTTAGCCATAAAAAGTTGTGGTGGTGGTGTTTAGAAACAGCTTGGACTTTTGTTGAAAATCCCACTCTAGCTCTGGATAGCTTGTATGTATTACTACTAGCGTATATTAGTTGCTGCAAACAAGCAACAGCAGAAGTTGTTTTTCCACAGAAGAGCTGTTCTTTCCCATATTTCTTGCAGTTTATGCTTATGTTAACCATGATTAACAGTTCTCCAGACATGAGAATAAGTGTACAGGAAGGAAGGAAGGGAATATTGCCAGCTTGCACAATTGTGCTGGAAACAGGATGATATTTAAAAAAACTGTGGCACTGCCTTCATGTTTTCCTTCTTGGAGTGGCAGAAAACTGTTCCTCTCAGTTGGGCAGCATCAAGCCATAGAAAAGATCCTTGTACCTTCCAAGGACAAAAAAAAAACCAACTCCCTGGTTCTTTGCCACAAGGGAAGGAAGGATGCAAACAGAAGAAGGATGTGGCCTCTGGATATGACTGCCTTCTGCCACATGTAAAGCGTGCTGCTGGGTGGCTGCTGAGTCACCTGATCAGTGGACGCTGGAGTTACCATTGTACTGAGATGTCCTGGATGATTTTGTCTGTCTTTCTGCTCATACCAATATAATGTTAACTATTCTCGTTTCACATTTTCAACCTTTTCTTCACAGTTGTGAGAGTGGAATGTTGACAATTGTTAGTAATAGTATTACTTTGGAGGTCTTTCCTGGGCTTTGTGCCTTATTCTGATCAAACCACGTCTTGTGAATGATGTTTGAAATTTCACATGCTCTCAGAAATAGAAAATCTCTTGACTGGATGTCAAAACTACCACTGCAGAATAGCCTTGAGCTTTGCATAGGCCTGTTAGACAAGATAGCTACAATCCTTAGAAAAATAGTTGGCATGTCCCATAATTTTTTTTTTTTTTTTTTTAATACTAAAGACAGGCTGACTTGGGAAAATGAGGAAAATTGGAAGAAGCTGGGAGGCACACAGAAGAGTTTGAGAACATGGTTGGGGGTGCGGGAAGGGAAGAACTGAGGTGTACGCAGGAGAGTGTCTGGGGTGCTGTAGGTGAAGTGCAAGGCACCTGAAGCAGCTGCAATGGGACACACGATGGCAGTGAGCAAGTATGAAGCATAAAAGTAAAGCATAATAGAGAATATTATTGAAAGAAAAAGTGACAGACCTATGGAGAGAAGTGGATGTAGAGTTGTGCTGGCTAAAGACTGGTTGTGTAGAGATATAGGGAAAATATGAAGAATAGAGGGACAAGAGGCTGAAGAAGGGCTAGCATAAGGCTATCACGGCAGGACTGTTTAATCACAGGCTAGTGAGATAGCCTGTGAATCTGGAAATCAGATAACTCTTACTTCTGCATGTGCATCTCAAGCTAAATTTTGGTCCTGAAATGCTCAGCCATGCTATTAGGAGAGGTTGTTTCTGAAAGCTCCAAAAAGTGAATGTCAATTATGTACGTAAAACCTCAGCCAAACCTCAGCATGGAGAACTCACTTATCCTGGAGTCACACAGTAAATCCAGCATTGCAGTGTGCTCAGCAAAGGCAAAACAAACATTTAACAAGGAAAGGAAGAACTTTCAAGTGTGTGCTTGTGAAAGAGATATGCTGTGCAAATAAATTACAGGTCGGGCTATTGAATTGCCCACTCCCTAAGGAATGCGCAGTATTTACATGAAATTAAAGTTTGGAAAAAAAAAAAAGTTGTCACAGAATTCCCAGCTGAAAAGGAAATAGATTTGTTAGGAAAGTGACTGTAGTTTAAAAACCAAGTACCTGCATAATTCCATGTGTGGTTGACTGCTCCACAGGATCAATAGCCAGTATCTTGCTAGTGTTGCATTTTGTTTTGACTGTGCTAGTAACTATAACCATCCTCTCCTTTCCTAATATTTTAGGTACAGAGAGAACTGGCTGCTGTCATTGCCTTGAAAGCAAGGAAATCAGGTGAGTCAGGCTGGACTTTAGAAGGTGTTTTGTAATGCTGTTCTCTTTTGTCATTTATGAAAGTATTTGGATTGTCATTGCTGTCTGATTAACATGGGGAAGCAAAGGTAGTAGACCTCGTTCCTCTCTCGCTGGAGAGTCTGTGTATATAGCACAATGCAATTACTGTCAAGCTTCGCTTCCCCTAGCTCATCATGTCTGATGACCTAGCTGATAAAATCAGTGTTACAGTTGAATGTGAACTTGGGTCACTTTCTGGCCAAAATCACTATTTTCTCTGGGCTTGCCCTTTATAAAAGAAGCTTATGTCTTTATTTGACTTACATTTAAGACAACTAAGTTGATAGTTTTCCTATGTTTTCTTTTATGGGCTAGATTGTTATGCCATCTTCACTGTGTTTTACCTGCCCAGTCAGGTGTATTTCTTTATGCTAAAGCAAAAGGACAACTTCATGCATGAAGGCATTCTTTCCTGAAGACTTGTTTATACATCCATACAGCTGTAGAGGCAAGTCTCTGATATCAGAGCAGTAGAAGGGGAAAGGCAGATGGATAACTGAAAGTCTCTGACAGTATAAGCATTTACAGCGAATGCTGGTGATACAGTACAAAGGCACTGAAATATGTGGTCATCTCAGCTCTGTTGAGGTTTGGTAGCACAGACACTTTGAGAAAGTATCTGCATTGCTGAGTTGGAGTGAGAGCAAGGGAGCTATGTTTTCTGGGCACTGCACAGGAGCTAACAAAACCTTCCTGGCCAGCCCTGACTCTACACAGGATGAACTCTCTGGTGGCTTCATGTATAGTGCAGTTAATCTGCAGCAAGGGCAAACTGCACAGGGGGAAGTGAGAGTTGAATGTATTTCTAGAGTAAAGCAGAGGTGGATTTGCCTTAAAATTACCGGTGTGTTGCTATAGCCATTGAGGTATTTGGGAATATTTTCACTGAGCGTCTCTTGTGATCTTTAGTGATTTTGCTAGAAATTGAGATCACAGACCTTGCACTTTTTGCGCTGTTTTCTGACCTTTTAGTAATATTGCATCATAATATCTGTATCTGTCTATCTGTGGTTTATGAGTGAGGCACAAAAGTTGTTGCACACAGCACAGGCACTACACACAACATGATTTCTTAAACTGGAGGTGCCAAGAAGATGTGGCTGGCATATCTGCAAATATTTCCTTGTGAAAATGTAAGTATCCATAGGTTATATTCACAGTCATTTGTAAGTGTAAATCTGCAGAAAGTAAACACAAATCTAAGTGTGAATTCAGACCTAAATTGCTTCTGTGTAGTAGCTTTGCTTCTGAAACTGCTGTAGTAGTTTATAGTGTTAACACCCCTCAGCTGCTTGCCCTTACCTGGTATTACCCCAGTCCCATCTCAGTTATAATGGCTGAACATGGAAATGCTTCTGCTCTGGTTCGGTGCAGAGAAGAACAAGCTATTTGAAGAAAGGGCTCAAGGCAACCTTTTGTTTTGCTGTAAAACGGTCTGAGAGTGTGGTGGTGTGTACCTTTTA